ACAGCGAGCCGGCCCCAGACAAAGCAGAGAACAGGTGGGCTCGGCCCCAGCGGCCTCCACATGTGTTAAGAAATCCAGCCTAGGTGCCGCGGAGCCCCAGCACATCCTCCCCCTCAGACCAGAGAGCACCCCAGCTCCGCTGTCCCCAGTGCAGCCCCTGTGGCCCCCCAGCCCAGCCTACATCCCCCTGGCCACACAGAAGAGATCGAGTCGCCCCAAGCCCCGCTGGGCACTGTGACCATCCCTGCTCCCATCCTCCACCGGATGGCAGCCATCCCCCTGGCGCAGGGTGCGGGGACCATGTCCCACACCTGGACAACCACTGCTGCCGCCAGCTGAGGCTTTCCAGATTGCTCATGCAATAGTGAATAAAAGAGCTATTTCTTAACTCTGCTGGCTGTGTCACATTCTGCTTAATTCTCCCAGAATACACTTACATTGGCTTCTCTTCAGAGCAAGAAGTTTCCACGCTACACCTGCGCAGTGCAAAGTCATAGCAACCTCGTAGGTATTTGAGATCATGGAGCAGATCTTCCCAGATGATGTGTTAAGGCAGCTGAGAGATGAAGAAGTGATCCGGGACAGCCAGCATGGCTGCACCAAGGGCAGATCGTGCCTGATCCACCTGGTGCCTTCTGTGATGCAGTGTCAGCACTGATGGACAACAGGAGGGCAACTGATGTCATCTCCCTGGACTTGTGCAAGGCCCTTGCTGTGGTCCCGCACCACTTCCTTCTCTCTAAGTTGCAGTGCTTAACCACCCCTCTCTGTATAGACGTTTTTCCTGATACCCAACCTAAACTCTCATGGCACAACTTGAGGCCATTCCCCTCGTCCTGTCAGCGGTGAGAAGAGACCAGCCCCCAGGACCCGACACTCAGCCCTATTGAAACTCATACAGTTTGCCTCAGCCAACTGACCAATCTGTCCAGGTCCCTCTGCAGTGCCTTTCTCCCCTCCAGCAGATCAACACTCCCTCCCAGCTTGGTGTCATCTGCAAACCTACTGAGGATGAACTCAATCCCCTCATCAAGATTATTGATAAAGACGTTAAATACGAGTGGTCCCAGCACTGAGCCGTGGGGGACACCACTCATGACTGGCCGCCAGCTGGGTTCAGCTCCATTGACCACAACTCTTTGGGCCCGGCCATCCAGACAGTGTTTCACCCAGCAGAGCGTACGCCCATCCAAACCATGGGCAGCCAGCTTCTCCACGAGGATGCTGTGGGGGACAGTGTCACAGGCCTTACTGAAGTCCAGGTAGACCAAATCAACAGCCTCACCTTCATCCACTAAGCGGGTCACCTTGTCAGAGAATGACATCACGTTTGTCAAGCGGGATTTACCATTCGTATGATCTCAGGAGGCTTTAACCCAACTGCTGAAAGGATATGGAAAGGACACGTGAGTATGTCATCCCTGTGTCACGGTACATCATAAGCCCCGTGCATGTTCTACGTTTCTTACGCCCTCCATCATTCACACAGCCGTACACGGGGCTCTGGGGAGCCGACGTTTCCGTTGTTGTTGGGGGTCCTGCTGCCACCTTGAGGTACTGGGCCGAACTGCCACCGTCTGTGTGAAACATGAGGAAGAAATACAATTCTGAACCCACAGCACCTCAAAGTCCCTTCGAGGCACCCCGACCACAGCCCCCGCTGCCCCTTACAAACCTCAGGAGTGCCAGCAGCACCTCGTGCCTTAGGATGCCCGGTGCATTTCGCGAGGATGCGCTCATCTCCTGCATCGTGATCATTGGCAAAAATGTCCAACGGCGCTGACCAGAGCTGGGGGCTCAGCGCTGGCACGCAGGGAAACCTGCTGTGCTGCAGCGTGAGCCTCCGGTACTGCTGCTGGGCACCGCCAGGCGCAGCCTGGCTCCGTCCTCTCCGCACCTCCCTGCGGGGACTGATGGCTGTGCCCGGGATCCCCCGAGCCTCCTCTTCTGCAGGCTGAGCCACCCTAGCTCTGCCAGAATCCCACCCCAGCCATTTCCCACGCGGTGCTGAGGAGGGGAGGGGATGCGGGGGAAGGAAAGGCGCTGGTGGGTGCAGTCCTACGACACGGCCATTTGAGCTGCTCTGTCCTCACCCAGCGGTGGGCAGCGGGATGGGGGGGTCTTTGGAGCTGCAGATACGACTGCACACAGAAGCGCTGAAAAACGAACGCTAAACATTTAATCGTTGAACACACAGAGCAGTAAACAGAGGAATGACCGCGTTCCCAACCAGCTCCCATCCTGACAATCATCCCCCCTCGCGGCTTCCCTCCTCGGGGCCAACTCGAAGCTGCTCCACGTCGGCTTCACGCAGCTCCGGGAGCTGCGCGCGGGGACAGACGGACAGATGGAAAACGGCACCTGGGGACTGCAGCTGCGGGGCAGCAGCCGAAGGCTCTCGCTGACTCCGTGCCGGGCTCGAACGCGCCTCGACCCGCGCGATCGCTCCCTCTCTTTCGGGGCTGCCCGGCTCAGCCAAGAGCCGCTCGCGGTCAGCCGCCGCTTCTCGCAGCCCGGCGGCGCAACGACGGCGGACGGCTCGGTTCCGACGGGGGACGGACGGGGGCCGGCGGCGGTGCCCCCGCGCCGCCTTCCCCCGACCGCCCGGCGTCCCCGAGGCACGGGGCGGGCGGCGACGGCGGGGACCCGGGGCGGCGGAGCGCCGCGTTCCCCGCACGGAGCCCCGCGGCCGCGGCCGCCATTGGCGGAGAGCTCGCGCTCGGCCCCGCCTCCTTCGCTCCCCCATTGGTCGGTCCGCCGGATGGGGCGGGCGCTCCGCGCGGGGTCCTTTCCGTCCGCGGTCGCGCCATCATTGCGTCATCACCGCGCGCGTCCCGCCCAGCCCCGGCTCAGCTGCCCGCGGCGCAGCTCCGCTTCCAGGGCTCCGGGGCGGCCGGGCCCCGGCTGCGGCTGCGGCAGGAGGAGGGCGGAGACGTGGGGGACCGCAGCGAGGCCGCGCCCGCGCCCGCGCCGTCACGCCCTGCCCCGCTCCGTGCGGGCCTTGCTGGAGAGCGGCAAGCACGGGCTGGCGGCTGCCCGGGCGCAGGGGGGGGGAGCGGGGCGTCCGGGCGGGCGGCGGGGCCCGGCGATGGCGTGGGGAACCCGCTGGATACGGGCGGCTCCGGGGCACCTTGGCGTCCCGCTGCAGGCGGCGGTCGCGGCAGTTCGGGTAGTTCAGCCCCACGCGGATCGCCTTCTCGGGCTCCTCGATGGGCGCCGACGGCCGCGCTCCCGCCCGGGGCAAACGGTGCCGGCCCGAGGCCGGCGCTGTGCGGGGCGGGGCTGAGCGCGGGGCGATCAGCTTCTGCTGCTGCTGCTCGGCCGGCTTCTCGGCCGCTGGCTCGCGTTCAGCCGAGCGTTGGCCTGCAGCTCCGGATCCTTTTCCTCCACGCGGCCTTCCGGCCGCTCTGCCCCAAGCCCGCAGCGATGCCTGGGGTCGTTGTGACCAAAGTGCGGGACCCGGCGTGTGGTGGTGTTGAACCTCGTGCCGTTGGCATCAGCCGTCGATCGGCCTGACCGGAGCCCTCTGCAGGGTCTTGGAATCCTTAGGCAGATTATAGGAGGATGCCGTAGCTGAGGGACGATGGGAGGCAGGGAGGGGAGCATCCTGCCGTGCCACCGGCAGCCCGGGGACCACGTGCTGTGGGTGCCGGCACAGAGCTCCTCCATCCGTCAGCACGGGAGCTGCGGTTCTGGCTGCAGCGGCAGGAACTCAGCGCAGCCCTGCAGAGAGCGGTCCGGCAGCACGAGAAGATGACGGCCATGGAGTGCGAGAGCCTCAGCAGCGTCTGCAGCCCGCGAGGAGCTGAGCTGGGCTGGGGAGAGGAAGCTGTGGGAGTCCTGGGGAGGGACGCAGAATAGCAGCGTGAGTGGCAGGATCAGCTGCTTCCTCCTGACACCGTTTCCTTTGAGAAGCCAGTGCAGAAGCCAGTCCGCATTGTCACATCTGTGGGGTTGCACAGAACGCACAGGCAGGGGGTAACTTTAGGTTGGATATCAGGACAAAATTCTTTATAGGAAGGGTTGTTGAGCACTGGAATGGGCTCCCTGGGGAGGTGGTTGAGTCACCATCCCCGAACATGTTTAAAAACCATTTGGATGTGGTGCTCCAGGACATGATTTAGAGGAGGGTTGTTAGAGTTGGGGTACTTTGGTCAGGTCGTGGTTGGACTCGATGCTCTTGAAGTTCTTTTCCAACGTGAGCGATTCTGTGATTCTGCAGGGAAACAGTGTGTTGGATTGCTGTTTGTTGCAGAGCACCAGCACAGGGCAGGACTGGGGACTAGGAAGATCACAGAAGATCACAGAAGCACCAAGGTTAGAGAAGACCTACAAGATCATCCAGTCCAACCGTCCCACCTATCACCAGTAGTTCTCACTAAACCATATCCCTCAACACGAAATCCAAACATTCCTTGTACACCTCCAGGGTCGGTGACTCCACCACCTCCATGGGCAGCCCATTCCACTGCCTGACCACTCTTTGAGAGAAGTAGTATTTCCTAACGTCCAGTGTAAATCTCCCCTGGTGCAGCTTGAAGCCATTCCCTCTAGTTCTGTCACCAGTTACATGAGAGAAGAGGCTAACCCCCAGCTCAGTACAACCTCACTTCAGGTAGTTATAGAGAGCAATAAGGTCTGCCCTGGGCCTCCTCTTCTCCACACTAGCTGCTAATGGATTGCTCCATTAATGCAAAATTGCTGTAATTAAGAGCAAGTAAATGCTCCTGCACAAGACTGGGCACTGAGACCTTTGTGTCTGTCGGTGATTCTCCAGCACGTTCTGTGCACGTGGCTGCTTTGCTTTGTAGGGCCTGGGAACAGCCAACAGCACTCTGATCAGAGTGATGGTGTCCGGCTCCGAAAAAGGATCTTTTTAGATCTGCTCTTCTTACCTGTATCCTCTCTTCTGTTCTGCCCTCTTTCTTCTCCCCTCTTGTTCATCACTCTTCTTCCCCCTTACAAGCTCCTCTCTTCCCTTTTTCCTTTGTTCTGCTCAATCTTCTCTCCTCTCCTCTCCTCTCCTCTCCTCTCCTCTCCTCTCCTCTCCTCTCCTCTTTGTTGGCAAGAGGGCTTCGAGTTCCCTTGCTGGTGCAGAGAGAGAGGCTCAGACTCCCTTGCTGGTGCAGAAGGAACGATGAAGGACCTTTACTGAAGATGCTTACAACCTTTTATACCCGTGCAACAGCAACTTACGTGTAGGAAGCAGGAGCGTCATGTGTGTTTACGTCTGGCTCAAGTTACTGCTAAGCTTCTTTACTCATTAGCAAGATAATGACTTTATCCCACATCTCCCCCTTCGCTATTAAGAGAAAAAGAAGCACGGTTCAAAAACAATCCTAAAAGTAGCTAAACTAAAATTAATACACTGAACAAGGATGGGTTCTTTAGAGTACAAACAGCAGTCCATATTAACCAGTTCCAACGATTCCAATTCTTATGATTCCTTGGTGACACAGTTGACAAAGTGAGTCTTGTTGCTGTGAGTCCAAACCACTGATGAAAGTGCTGTGGTCATGTTACAGCAGATGATGAGACGGATGGCCAGACCCCCCAGATTCACATGAGCACCCACTGGACACCCCAGGACTCCTCTGGGACATCCCCAGACCCTTCTGGATGACTTCAGGACCACTCAGACCCACATGAGAACTCCCTGGACCCTATCAGACCCTGCTGGGACATTTCCAGATCAGCCCAGGGACTCCTCAGAGCTCTTGGGCCCACAGTGGGAACTTCCAGATCCTTCCATG